ATATATAACCAGAGAGTGCTTAAGGTGTGTGAACTGGGGGGAAGAAAACACAGGCCATTATATAACAGCACTAGGTAAGCGTCCACTCGCAGAGAAATCCAGTTTTTATAAGTCCACATTTAAACACAAAGTAAACAGAAGCATAAATATGAGAACGAATCTGAAATATAAACTTCAAGTTTCACAAATATGGTACCATTTATATCTGTATGTACGTGTGTGTGTAGCAGATATAAACGAGTTAGCAAATGGAAGAGACGTATACTAAGAAATTAAGTTATCAATTTACCTAACATGGATACATTAAGCCGATTGTATCATTCAAAATCTAAACAGAATTATGGATATTCACAGGTTCTAATACTTGTATTTTAAATGTAATTAGCAGAACCGTATTTTAGACTTATTTATCATGACTTAATACAAATCCAAAATACAATCATTATGTTTGCTTTTTAAGAATGTCTCAAACTCAAAGAACTTCATTATAAGTACAATTCAAATGACGAATTAAAGTTGGAAAACTCTGTACATTAATGAGATAAAAGGGACAGCAAACCAATACTTTTAAACAAACTACAAACATCTGCTAGAAGCTCAACTAAATATACTATAGGCAATATTCCTCAATTATAAAAATAGCACTACAGAAAGATATTTCAGTAGTATATGTCAGTAAAATACTTGGCTATAAAAGCAAAGATGAATAGTTTCCGTGCTACACATTTTGTATAAATTCCTTGATTAATGGGGGAAAATATTAATAAGATGGAATATAGAGATTGTAAAAAAGATTCAGTTATTTGACAGAAATAGATCTGCAACTGAAAATAATCTTTGGTGTATACAACAATTTTGGGTGAGTGTGAGTGTGTTTTTTAAGAGAAGAAATATCCATGAGAGAAAGAGGTGATATGAATGAGTCCTCCACTTCCTGGCTGTCCCACATCCATTCAATACATAAAATGTGGAACTCATGCACAAGAATTATTTCTTACAAACTAGAGAAGAGGGCCCAGAGTCTGTATATGAAAACGTGCCCTCATGGCACCTAGGATCAGAAGGTGACTGACATGTGTCTTCAAAGG